AGGTTGGAGGCCATCGCTAGTAGGTTGGAGGCCATCGCTAGTAGGTTCCTTTTGCTATTAGGTTAGTGTTTGGTTAGGGGTCCCGCAGCGGCCAAAGGAGGCGGCCGAAACCACAGGTTGACTCATCCCATCTGAACAAAAATAGTTCGACACGTGCCTATTGTGAAGAAGACCTTAAACGAGGACCTCAGGTGAAACCGATGGAACCTTTCGGGATTTCGGACCTTATAAGGGGTGAACCACCTGAGGCGCTCCTGATCAACAAAATCACATATAACTTGTGTCTCAAAACATGACCCCCCAATTTCAGCCGATGTCCACCTCGAAGCCCCACTCGGTGGCCAGGAAATCTTTAAGCTCGCTGAGATCAGGAGAGACCTCACGGCTGAACAGTTGTCATGAAAATCGGATGGGACAGCTGAACACATCCGGTGAAGGTTGTTTGCTTGTTTGCTTGCTTCATCTTACTTCTATGTCTTCTCGTCTCATGGCATGTTTTGATCGATTGCATGATATGGGCAAGGTGGAGAAGGAGTAAGGGAAGGAGAAGGAGAAGGACTACATAGCTGTAGGGATACTGGTTTTGCTAGTCGTCTTCTTTCTTGGGGTCACATCATGTCTGCGAACCTCAGTGTTTCAGGATTTGGCTTCTTGAACTGCGGAGGGGCAGTACTGTGAAGGGCAAAATCCGGGCCCACCTGTGGAGCAAGAACAGGTGTCCCGAACAGTAGCATTGTCCATATCTCCCCGAACAAACTCTATATTATACTGTATATATATTTAGATAGATACCATATATGAAAGAGCTATGAAAGAGCAGCTCCAGGATATTATATAGAACATCACCTCTACCCCATGCAGGTCTCTCCTAAGCGAAACAGGAACAACACCCAGGCCACTAGGAACAAATCTGACAAGCTGAGCAAAACTCAGTTGTAAATGAGCCTAGTACTTCTGCCTCACAGTCTGAAACGCGAGTTGATGTCTCTCAAAATTACTTCAGGCGAATCTCCCACAACCCAGTAGAAGGTAAACATATAAATGAACACCAATGGGTTAGAATTTGCCCTCCTTTTGAACCAGTCTTTGGTCTCTTAGGTTTCTTGGCAGCCGTATTCTCCGCTGTTTGTCTCTTCCCACAACTGGCACCACCTGTCTGTAATAAGGTTGTTGCCCGAAAAGCTGGTATTTGAACGAGTGAGTCGGTTCTCTTTCCACCATTCGCATTCTGGTCGAGTTTAGGACGGCTAAGAATGGCTGGCAAAGATCAGGATTTCCCACTAAAATGGTTGTACCGCCACGACCTACACATGTCCGCGGCTGAAAATGCACGCGTTGTTTCATGCCCAATTCCTTCAATCCGATCTGAAACATCAAAGAATACTTTCGGGGGTTGAACTGCCGATGAACTCTACCCAAACGCCAGTTGGACAGAAAACAGGGTATCTATGGGTATCTAGGTTTCCTCATCCCCCAAGAAGTGAGTCGTCTCACATCTCCCTCCAGACGAAGGCTTGGACATCCGCACCGTGAAAGCTGGCTTCTCCAAGTCGTTGACCCAGGAGCTGTGGGAAGTTCCCTGGCAGGACACAGTTCCCTTTGGACACTGAATCCTCCCCCCAAAGAAGTCACGGAATCCGTTGATGAGTGAATTCAGTGTTGTAATATGATGTCTTTTATGATCCGCACAGCCATCCAAGCTCCAGTCTGAGCCAATATTGGGGTAAACCGGGTAAACCTGGACCTCTCATTGAGACAGTGCTGTGCATTTTCGATGGCGAACGGTAGAATGAGGTACGAAAGGCCCGCAGGGGTGGCCTCTTTTAATTACACTTCCACACAACATCTCGAACTCAGATTTACACAAACCACACCCTATAAAGTGCGAATTACCTGTCTTATCTATACAACCACAGATGTTACGAATGGCCTCACATCGAGTTGAGATGGCACCGTTGTAACCCATCTGCCTTGTCTTTGAAGGTCTGAAGCAGCTCCTGTCGGGCGAACAAGATGACCCACATGACCCGCTGAGAGTTGACTGACTGACACCCAGCATGAAGAACGATGTGAAGCTGGGTGGCACCCAACGAACACATGTTTAAATGCTTTTCCCCAAGCCATGGCTTTTCATAGAGACCACGCAAATGCTCCATGGTTTGTAGTCTCATATCAATCCCTTAGCATACATTGGGGATTTGTTCGAGACTTTCATAGACTGTCCCTCTTCAGCTAAGGCCAGCTAGGGTCCTGCTGTGGTGGTGTTTTAAAAAGACCTCCGATGCTGGAGACTTTGACCTCTTCCGAGACCGGACACGTCGATGTGTCTTTTGGAGTCACTCTGTCGTCGCTCTCGGCTCCGTCAGCCGAGAGCACGCGCGTTTTTGTGCGGCGCGTTTTCATGGAGAAACCAATGAGTCATTTCTCGTCAAACAAGGTCACTTACCTCTCCCAGCCATGCTTAGCCACTTACCTAGATTAATTACCAGCTTGTAGCTTTTGGACTTCACAAGCTCAGTGATGTTCAACGCACCCATCCTCAGGGTCGACGGTGCTCAGCGCCGACAGGTCCATGGCCTAGTCTGCGCGAAAGGCTTCCCTTTCTCTTCGGGAGGGAACTCTACAGATCTATACATGACTACTATGTATATAGCTTATATAGTGTGTTATTATAGGCAAATTCATAAATATTGTAGTACTGACTGACTTTTAGTATATTACAAAGGATGTAGATGCCTATAGATGTATATTATAGATCAACTGTATGAGGAGACCATTCTTGCTGCTATTGGACTTCCGTATATACATTTGCCTTTGGGACCAAGCAATCCAAACAAAGCCCATTGGACCCGACTGGTGCATGTTCTAAATTATACTAAAATGGGCCATGGACCCAAGGATCACTGCAAGGATCAGGTTCATGGATAATGGATTGCCAAACTCATGAAGAGATCGTCTTCCAGAAACATGTTCACATTGTTTTCACGACATATTTACGCATATTTGGCTTATGAACCGATGGCTCTCAAAGGATGAAAGGAAGGATCCCCAGCCCCTTTCTCTCCCAGCCTTAAAGACTTTCCCGGTGGAGAGCCCATAGTTGGGCTTCACCTCACCGAAGACAAGTGTCCGGTGAAAGGAACCACCAGGCCGATGACACACGAATCAGCTAGGGAAAACGCCCCAGAACCGTGGAGAAGCACTGAAACAATCTGAAACACCTCACCTGACTCATCTGGAACGCGGGTCACCTGGCTCGACTAGTCCAGCCCAGAAACAAATCGACTGGAACTCCAAACACCCAGGACAAATGATCCTAGTAGGAGAACTGAACAAACTGACCTACCCCAGTCGACATTTTCGAACAAAGGCTTCAACTCTCTGGAGGTTTCTTGATCAAGCTCAAGGCTTCAGACCAAACTGGCCCAAAGCCTCAAAGTTCGGATTTACAAACCATGGTTCTACCAAAATTATCCAACACTTCTGAGATACTTGGTTGTGTTCCTCTGCTCCTCCTGCTTCATTGAGTTCGAAGGATGGACTGTGGATAACAAAAAGATCTGGCGTGAAAACCCCCACCCTTCGAGTTCGCTAGTTTAGTGGAAACAGCCGGCCAATCAATCTCTATTCCCAATCACGACAGATTGGTCTTCACAGTCTTCACAGTGGATTGGATGTGCTTTGATTGCTGTGTGTATCTCAGGCGGCACAAGCCTGAGCATTTGTCACAGCCCTCTGACTTTTCTTAGCGTCCAGCCAAATAAACACTCAAGCCTTCCTTGATGGGCAGCCCTTCGATGGGCCTGAGACTTGGCGAAGGTAGGTCATCACTTGAGCTCGGATCAAAAGCCTCTTTGGTCATCAAATGGCTGTCAAAACCTGGAGCCGTGGTTCACCATGTAGGGAATGACCTTGCAGGTACTGGTTTTGACCCATGGCCATATTCCTCGAATAGTTACTTTAGCACCATGGCTATTGACATCTCAGCGCCGAGCAAAGCAGCCGTCGTGCTGGAGGCAAACACTTTAAAATAAAACAGAAAATCATGAAACCGCACTGGTTTGAGGAATGTGAATTAAAGCACATCAAAAGAACCACAACACCGCCGGCCCCAAATAAGGACAGCATTCGCATTTAGCCGACACGGGCAGGACCAGGAGTCTCATAATCTCAACCTTCGGGGGGTCATGCACCCAGCCCCTACCCTGGATTCAATAGTTTTAAATCCGGGGTACCTCTAATTATAGCAAACCTTGAGCTGAAGCAGTGCCGGATAAGAATTCAATGATCGAGAAATAGAAAAGGTAGTTAAGTTTTAGAGAATTCCAGTAAAGAGAAACAGGAGTGGGTTGACCCAGTTTGTTGGTAATTAATTGTGCAACCTCAGTCAAGAACGGTGCTTTAAACGAGTAACTAACTGGACAGGGTGGTTCACCACTGACACTCCTCTGAAGTGATACTTTGCGCCTGTTCTTTTCTCGAAGTTGCCAATGCACAACCAAGCATTGCCTGTCCGCTGTCCACCTGACCCCAGTCCCCAACTGATTGGCAATTTATGCCAGTCCCACTGGGTTGTGTCTGGGAAAAATGCCAACACCAATTCCTGAAAAAAAAAAAGCCTGTTCCGGCCAAGAGGCGTTACAATTTCACCTCTTCCAGTGCAGTAGGCGGTTCCTGGTGGACATTCGATGGCTCCAAAGGTTACACCGAACACCCGACGATCGACCGCGGCAGCGTTTGGGCGCGCATCGACCGCATCGGTGAGTGGTGATGGTACTTGGCTGTGAGAAGCATCAATATAGGCCGGGATGCTTAACAGGTACCAAGAGATGGCAAGGGGCTTGCAGTGTTTCTTTTTTTCCACGTTGCCAGCAGCCTTTGAAGTGACATGAACTCACCACATGACCACAAATTCCATGTCCACTTCCGATGGAACCGGCCCTCTCCGGATCCTCAGTTCCTCCGGATCCGAAAACCGACGCCTTCTGAGAGGAAAAAGGTGGCATCCTCGAACCGCGCTTCGATGCCGGGAGACGATTCCGGACCCAACCGATTCGGGGAACGAGCTCGGTCGTGACCGTGACCGTTGGTCCGAACGAAGCTGGAGTCCCGAACGGCCTTGAGTGACCGAACTTCCAGCCCTGTCCCCCGTCGATCGTGCATGAAAACAACCAAAACATTGAAAAAAACACAAGCATCACAAGCAGGGGATCAAGTTTGGTCAGTTCGTTGGCATTTTTTTTCCGTGGCGGTCAGAATGAGTTGTTGCTCATTTGAGACTAGCTCCCCAAAGGCACTCATTCTGTAGTTTTTTGGGAGGTGATTTATCTATGTTCATCTCTTCAACCCAAGCATGCTCAGTTGATGGAAGAGTTGGAGACCTAGCTTCAACGCAACACACCAAAGAAACTCCTGCAAACACTCCTTCGCGCCCTTATGCTCTCCCAATCAAAGATTGGGGTACAAGGGGTTTTGGATTATAGTGGAATAGTCTATATAGTGTAGAAAAATCAAGAAGTGACAAGTATACATTTAGTTTTCCCATGTATATTGTGCGCCCCGCAAAACCAAAAGCCACAGGGAGTAAAGCCCTACTCAAAACGAATTACAATTATTGGGATAAGCCTCTAAAGACTCTAAAGCGAGGAATGAAAGCTCGCTAAATTAAGACCGCAAAGGAGAAATTGAGATGGCATCATTGAGACTTCTTCTGCTTCACATGTGTGATGAGCTGCCTCTAAAATTTCGGGCGCTCGTATGGCAGTAAGCTATTCCTGAAGATGTACATGACGTACACCCAGAATGATGATTTTTTTCCTGATAGATAATGAATCGTCCAGTATCATGATGCATCATGCATCATGGACGGTTCCACTGAATTGAAAAAATGACCGTTTTCTACAAACGTTGACCCGGGAAAACTGTCTCGCACCCAGAGCCGAATCCTCCGGTCGATCCAAGACACGGAGCCGATCACTGGGTCGTCGCCCCAACGGATCAGGTCCTCCAAAAGGGGGCGAGGGGCAGCTGTTTGCTTGATGAGGCTGAAGATAGGAATGTGTTTTTAGCTATTTTTACCCTGAAGATTGGCAGTCAAGAGTCCAAGAATGAGTCCAACATCTCATCCTGTACAGATGTGAGCAGGTCACACCACTGGTAGAAACCTCCTGCCTCATCCTGCCTAGGTCCTATCTCTGTGACCGCTGGATCGAAGCCTGCGAAGGGTCCATTCCCACTGATACTGCGGTCAACGTCTCATGTTCTTCAATGTTCTCCACTTCAACAAAACCTGAAGCCTTAAGCCTTAGGTGTCTGGGTGCTTGGTTACTTGACTGCCAGGTGAGTGGTCCAAACCTGCCAGGTGAATGTGAATGCTCTGTGTAGAAGAACTCCACCGGGAAGGTTTGTGGTGTCCAATGAGCGGTTTAAGGGACAATCGACAGGACATCCATAGTCTTCAGGGGAAAAACAAGGGTTTCCTCTAGATTTTCCCTTGGACCAATCCATTGATGGCGTACTTCAACATAAGTGACCCCCGTCACCTGCCACCTTTCCCGACTAAAGTTTCTATGATCTTCTCGACCGACTAACAAATGACCTTTGGAAAGAACATCTTGCTCTATGACAAATAGCAATGGCCTCCAACCTAATAGCGATGCCTCCAACCTAGAAGCAATGGCCTCCAACCTAAAAACATCTTGCTTTATTGTAAGGTGACTCTGTACATAGATTTACTATAGATGCCACCTGTACCTCAGAAAATGAATACAATCGTCATGACCCGATACTCTGTCCAAGTCACACATACGGACACACACTCTGACATTGGTTTTCAGTTAACTCAATTGCCACGTTGGGAAGGAAGGTGAAGAACGGTAAGGTGAAGAGTCCGCAAAACTTGTAGATGTTTGAACAAAATGGTTTGAAGTCTGCAGAAAGCACGAAAACGAAACGCTCACGAAAACGCGCGGCTCGGTTGCAAGAACGCGGTGGGAAGGTTTAGGGGGAGTATCATGAAGAACCATGAAAACAAACAAGGTCAATTGGACAGCTTGTTCAACCGTTAAAGCAGGTACACATCCATGGCCAGTGGATGCTTCCCTCTCTGATGCCTAGCTTCGTTGGACAGAGTAGCATCAGAGAGCTCTGTCCCCCTGCTTTAAATTAGACCCTTGGAAACAGGGTTTG